GGAAAGCGCACTAAATAGTAATTTAAAAGAATTGCAAAAGAATTTAGTGCCACTGCCACGTTTGAACTTTCCATATGCTACTTACGCACCTGTAGTGCCTGGCGATAAGATTTATGACATTACAGTGGAACAACTAACGAAGTCGTGCTTTAGCAAAGAAAATCAAATGGTTAAGTGTAATCCAGAGTATGGTAAATATCTTGGCTGTTGCTTGCAGTTTCGTGGAAATGTCGAACCGACTGAGATTAATTTAGCTATTAAAGCTATGCGAGAAGAAAATTCTTTTGAACTTGTGGATTGGTGTCCGTCGGCTTTCAAAGTTGGTGTTAACTTACGAAAGCCAAGTTTTTTGCCTAATTCAGATTTGGCAGAACTGGAGCGTACAGCTTGTGTTCTGTCCAATAATACTAATATTGGGGATTATCTTACTCGTCTGAATCAAAAATACAATATATTGGAATCAAAGAATGATTTCGTGTGTTGGTTCAAAATGCAGAACATAGAGTTTGCAGAATACAAGGAGGCTTATGATTTTTTAAATCAACTAATCAGTGATTACGAAGAAGTGGACTTGGATATATATCAAGTGGATTAGAATTATGATGTATAAGTTCTTCAGAAATAGTTGAATATTTGTATTAGTTATATTTAAAACTATTGTGAAGCATCATGCAAGGAAGAACAAATCAAATAATAAATTTTAGTTATGAAATTACAAATTATTGCGATGTTTTTATATTTGCACACTTCGGTTCAAGTCTTAAGTCTGTATGATTTTCATGTAATCATTTTGAATATTAAGCATTCATTATGTTATCAGAACTTTCGGTTCTTATCATTATAATGTTAGGAGATCTTGCATTGCGACCTTGAAGATTAATTGTGCTTCTGCGATGGTTTCAAAATATTTGTTAAAGTGTAATTCCCATATTTAATAATATTTTCTGTTATTTACCATATTATAATTGATTTAATTTGATTTTAGTAGATATTCTCAATGTTCAACTGTTAGATCGAGCTTATAATTGAAGAATTATTGAGATCATCATATCAATTTAATCAAGTTGACAATAAATATATTTTTTCTCTTTATAAAATCCCATGAATTACGAGAAAATTTTATTTTTCGCCATGTAAACAATGAAGAATTTTATTTTTTCTGATTTGATACTAAAACTTTCTTTATTGCAATTCAAATACTTTTGGATTTATTTTTGCATTCGAACTTTACGTGCTTTTTTGCTGCGATTTTTGTCCACAGCACTCCAAACAGTCTTTGGACTCTGGAACTTATCGTATATCTGTGTGATTCCATTGGTCACATTAATGCCATTTGACCGATTCGTTGCTGTTGCCACTTTATAACATTTGTTGTTTGCATTGAAAGTTTTAAGCTTCCTCCAACTCATATCCAACCAACTGTAGTCATCTCATCCTTCCATGTTTTACTGCTGTCTTCTATGCGTTACAGGCTGCAATCGAGCGAAAAAGTTTCCACTTTATTCATACTTTCTATTCATTTACGTGTATTGGAAAAATGCATTAGAGTTCGATATAAAGTTTTGTCTTTCGACTTTTTCCATGAATTATTTTCTATAAAAAATCGTTTTATTATTCAAAGTTTAATACTCTTCCATATCCTTTTTATGTTGCCATTTTAATGGCGAAGTAATGGTTTTTTTTTTGAAATTGTTTTTTTTTTTCTTTTTGAAAAAAAGTAGTAAACAGTAGTTATAAATTTTAGTTAACGACATAATGATTCTTTAATGAACTGGAAGGAAATCTGGATTCTTTAAATTGAAACAAAACCAATAATTATTCAATGAAATTTTAAAACAGCAAATAAAGTTTATCATTGATATTGGCAAAGAATGTGTAATGATAATTTGAAGATTATTGCTTTGTTTGGTATTAAATATACCTCAATGTTAGGGCAATTGGTTTTATTAGTTTTTGTGATCGCTTAATAATATGCATTGATGTGTTCTATCAGGTTTTCAATCTTCTTGAACAACATCGAAGAATAATTTGTAATAAACTAAATAGCATTCAATCTCGTCACCTAATTCTCTCACACTAATTTGGTTCGTACTGTAAGCACCATACATCGAGTGCATAGGATCAGATTAGTCCTAAGAAAATCATTAGTGGAAAAACATTTATGGAGCAAAACGGATATTCTGAAGTTTTTTTGGATGTTACATATGTATTCGAGTAAGTATAGTAAAAAGTTATACAGAATTCAATACCATTTTTGTGTAAGATAAAAATATGTGTGATCCTATCTAGGAATAATAAAAATTAAGGTCCTACAAAGAACGGCCCTTTTATATAAATCCAGTACAAAAAGGGAAACTGTACTTCCCGCTTAATTACAACAGTGAAAATGTACAAAATATGTTGCAACATTTTGGATAATTGCAACATTATTTTCATTAGATGTCTATTTGAAGGATATTTGGTATTCGAATATCAGTCAAAAGATGTTTGCATAATTACTATAGCATAAAAATATATCTATTAATTAAAAATAGATTTTGTGTTTAAATTTTATATCAGTTTTTTTTGACTGTTACTAAAAAGTCTGGTATTTCGGGTGTAGAACAAAATAGTGCAAGTTCAATGAGATTATAATACATCAACAAATATGAGTATAGAACGTTGTATTATGTTATTACTTAGATTGACTAGTAAAGTGAATGATAACGCTGCATCACCCAAAGCAATATTAACAAAATTTAACGAAATTAAGTTAAAATTAAGTTCTGAGAATTGTCAGTTATGCATGGTACTGTTTGGATGTCGATATTCATTTTAACACTTTGGGTAATAACTTCATAGAACAACAAATAAAACAATAACTTTTTGAAAAAATTGGACTTCATTCATTAACGTTGTTTTCTTCAAACGTAGTACAATCATTTAAGCGCTTTTCTTAAATTTTCAATATCTCTCTTTTAGAATGATTGAACTTTGGATTTATATACCTTACATAGCGTATATACCTTAAATATACCTTAGTTTTGTCGATGAGTTTTTGAACAGGTAGTAATCACTGAGTGCCAAAGGTGGCGATTACGGTAGGTGCAAAAGCAATTCGAAGCGTGATTCTTGTGATTTGGGCATAATAGACAACGACTTGTGACAAGGTGTATTGTCTTTGGGAAGAAAATCCACCCTAATTCCAAAATACGAACTCCGTAACCTTAGTAAATGTTGCATCTAATGCGCTACTAGCCATTAGATTCCCAACTGTTGTTCATACAGCTGAATATCGATTTCACTCTGAAGTGAAGTAGTACCATATATCGAAGCTTCTCATAGACTTGCAAAATATTTGTTAATTTTCATGTTCACGTAATAGGACTCCCTTTAAACATACCTTTGAAAACTTTTCACAATTTTAGATGTACGAAATGGAGAAGCTATGGATGCTACGAAACTACTTTGATGACTTAATCGAAAGAAGCTACATGATATTATAGTTACATATAAGATAGAATAGAATAAAATGGGATTTAGAAAATCTCAATATGAGGAATATTTTTGGCATCAAAGTGTGATTACTCAGAAACTCTTTTTTAACTAGTTGTAGAGTTAATGTTTAATACATCGGCTAAAAGGTTTTGAGGTCAAGTTATAAAAACACATTGTTTTATTATATTAATTTTTTATTGCCATGACTGACGCGTCTTTATGACGAAAATAAACTATTTAAAAGTTGGACGGATTCAAATAGTAAAGAAAAGACAAGAACAAATATTTTATTTAATTTATTGAAATTTGGCTGACCATACAACACTGTTTTGAGTATTGCCAAGTACTCTACATCAATGGTCTTAGGAAATATTTGAGTTTCGTAATTAGTTTATAGTCCGTATATAATTTGTTTGGACAAGTGCTAGGTTTGGACTGCAAATGCCACGTTTCCACTGCAAGTGCCAGGTTTGGACTGCTAGCGTTGCATGGTCAGCCAAATTTCAATAAATTAAATTAAATTTTGTCCTACACTTTTCTTTGCTATTCGAATCCGTCAAACTTTTACATTGTTTTATATATGCGTAAATATGTATGTTTTCAAATATTTTTGATAAAAAAAACCAAAAAAAAAACTCGGAGCCGAAAAGATCTATTTTTATTTAAAATAAATTTCATTACGTAAATAATCGACTCATTTTTATGAAGTTCCTAATGTGTAAAAGTAACGCCCTAAGCAGAATATATACATATAGAAGTGTTTAATAATAATATTTTTAATTTATTTGCTATGTTAAAATAATTCTTATGTTGCCGTATTGTACACACTTCAGACGAAAACCTTATGTTTCTTACATCGTCTCACTCTTAACATGAGTACACGCACATCCGACAATTTATAAGTTTTATAAGACAAACACAACCCCGCATTCATGTTTAAATTGCTGAATGCTGTTTTGAAGTGGAAAGAAAGAAAACAACAAAAAATATTTTATATACTTCACTCTCGCTTTTTTACAAATAGCTTTAAAATTGCTGTAAATAGCAGGCCAACAGCAAAAACAGAAAGCGGCAGCAACAACACAAACAAAGTTAACATCGAAACTTTTTTAAACTTCGACTTTGGTCAGAATTCAGCAACAAATTATTTAAAAGTTCAGCAACGAAACAAACCAAAAGTTAAAAAGCAAAACAAACAACAACAACAACGATGCCAACAACAGCAAGCAACACAATATTCTTTTGTCACTGATCGTAGAGACAAAAGTTAAAACTTCAAACAGCAGCGTAAACAAAAACAATAAAAAGCATTAACAGCATTTACTGCAAATAAATCAAAATAAAAACAACAAAAACAACAACGACAACAACAACAGAACTTACAAGAAAAATTATTGAAATAATTTGAACCCACACGAGCTCAACCACAAGACACACTCAAGCGCACAAGCAAGTAAAAAAGTTAACATACATGAAAACACATAATAACACATGAAAATGAAATGGAAACAACAACAACAATAAAAACAACAGCAACAACGATAGCAGCAGCAGCAACAAAATATGAAAATTAAACTTTTTGACTTTGTTGTTGTTGTCGTAAAAGTTTCGTAGATAAAATTTCACGTACAATGTTTACGTATGCACATACCATATACGACGTAATCTTTAAATTTTAAGTGTATCGCATGCGTGTATGAGTGTGTATGAGTGTATATATATTGACCAGCATGACATACTTACTCTCTTACGCCAGCCATCTCCCTTAAAGAAATTTCTTATCAAAAATGTTTTTGGTTTTACTTTTGCTCAGCAAAGAAATTTATTGGCATTTTGTTTACTGCACACTTGGACATTTGCTACATTTTTCTGCTTGCCTGGTCAAATAAATTTATAATTTAATTTATTTAAAAAGTTTTTAAGAGTATTCGATTTTTTAAATAAAAAGCAAAAAATTAAAGCAATTTTATTTAAAATTAATTTTATTACAAAAAGAAAAATTAATTTAAAAGAGTACAAATTAAGCAAGTAAAACACATTTGCATAATTAGTTGGAATATATTACTTCAGTCATTATCAGTTTAATTTTAATTAATTTAAAAATAAAAATATTATTTT